TGTGTGTGTGTGTGTGTGTCGTGAGAAGCCTCCAGAGGACAGATTTGTTCTGCAGATATAACACCGCCACCTATGCCCAGTCACGCTGCGGGCTCGCCATGACCTCAAAGCTGCCAGACCCCACCCCTCCCCTCCCCCCAAAACTCTCTTTAAACTAAAAACAAAAATTGCTTTTCTCAAAATGCTTACAGTTGACCACAAATAGCGCAGAAGGCCTGTTATACTTGTGTGGGGAAACATATGATGTCGTGCTACAGATTAAATCTTGTGTAGTGGCAGCAAACCAGGTTAAGATTTTGCTCTTCTTGAAGTACATAAGCCCCGGTTACACGAAACGATAAATTGTACAAATTCTGGACGATCTATCGATCGTGAGACAAATCTGATTTTCTTACTTACTTTGTTGGAGAGTAGGCATTATTGCGGGCGGCACAATGCCATAGCTGCTCACCCCTCCTCTCCAGGATCCATGAAAGGGTCTGCCTGCTGATCATGCCAGTTAACAGCTGGTTGGGTTGGATATTCTTCTGGCCTTTCCCTGCAGGTTGCTGTCTCTCCCCGACCCTCTAAAGACACCAACTTTCCCATAGTCTATCCGTTGTGTATGAAGTGGTGCCTTCATCCTTTCTGCGGTCGTTGAACCATGCTGTCAATGCTGCCACGACTATTGGTGGATCTAATTGCAAGGTGCCTCCAATCTCTCAACCTGGCCCGCTAGCTTATCAGCACGTTTATTGCCTTGAACTCCTGCATGACCAGGGCTAAAGATCCATACAATCCTTGTGAGTCTGCTGCTTTGTATTGCCTCTTGCCAGTCTGCATACATCATGTGTTTCTTCACTTTTTCGAGGGTACTCATCGAGTCGGTGACGAGGATGGCAGACTGATATTCCACCGTCTTAAACCAGTTAAGGGCTTCTGTGATGGCTTTCATATCCATGCACATGCTGGACGTGGTTATACCAGTGGCGCCAGACTGCTCTCTCTGTATGACCCCATTTACACGGCCGCTGAAAGCCCCTCCAGATTTGACACAACGCTGTACTGATCCATCTGTGAAGATGACTACGTCGCCCTGTTTACTGTTCTCCTCTGTCAGCGTCTCTACCTCGGCATTGGGTGCTCCCTCTGGCCACTCACGACATTCTCTGCCTAATGTTGGCACCACTAGAGTATACAGCCCTGGTGTGTCAGTGACGCTGACCCATGCGCTGCCTCTTCGGATGTCTTGCACTTCACAGCAGTTAGCCAAGGTCGTCGCTGCCTCCTTCATCCATCCAGTCCTTCTCTAAGCAGATGCATGCGTACAGTTCTTCCCACTTTGTCATGAAGTGGGGACTGATCATCGGCGCTGACTCTCAAATACACTTTGACCTGAGCAATCTTGTGACGTTCTACCATGGCTGGGAGGTCCAGAAGATAACGCACAGTCTCGCAGGATGTGTCTCGTGTGCACCCGAGAACAGTCCTCATACCTTCGTTCTAAATTCTTTCAAGGCGTTTTAGCTGCAACGTTGACAAGGTGAGGAGAACGAGGCCATAGTTTATCACAGACTGCACAAGAGTCTGGTATAGTATGGCTAAAATTCTCTGTGGCAGTCAGCTGCACATCATGGTTTTCAGTGTAGTCTGACCTTTTCAGGCTCATGTGATGATCCTGGTAGTGTGATCTTTACCTGAGAGGTATCTGTCAAAGGTAATACCTAGATACCCCAGTGAGTGCTCACGCTTCTGGACCCTGTCGTTGATGGTGACTGTGGGCATCTCTGCTTTCACCGTGTAACTGTTCAGCTTGCACCACAGCACGCAGGCCTTGTCGGTGTGAAATTTGCCGCTGTGGTCTACACACCATTGCCCAATTCGACCCAGCTCCTGTTGCACCTTAATAGCTCTTCCTTGCCAGTCCTAACCCTGTCTGTATACAAGGACATCGCCCCTGCAGGTAGAGGGGCCCCATAGTTTTAGTATACACCTGCCGTGATACTGCGTGTCGAAAGAGGCGACTAAAGGTACATAAGTCTCGTCACACGAGAAGTGCCAGTTTGCTGAGGGCCAACTACCCGACCCAGTAAAAACGGAAAGTTATAGAAACACGAATAAAAACGCCATTTAGTTTATCCACCTTGGGAGACGGGGGAGCTTCTGTATCAGCAGGAACAATGAAGGACAGCGGACAAAGCCGAAAAGACTCTTCTGACCCGAAACCTTTGCTGTCGAACAAGTCTCTCCGGATTGTGTCGTGGAATGCATGAAGCAGGGAAAAGTTCTGTAGTGGCACAAGAGATGAAGAGATATGAAGGGGAAGACCACGTGGAACCTGGAGAAGCGTCACGAAGTGAATGAAAGGAAAAGTGGGAAGACATGGCGTGACATCAAGCGACAAGCCCAGGATAGGGAAAGCCGGAAAGTGTTTGTTCGTGGCCTATATCCTGATCCAGGGTGATAAAGGCAATGATGATGATACAAAGACATCATCCGCAAAGCTCAGTACACGCCTTGGGCCTTCCAGTTGTCTAGAGGAGATTCCAACTGTGTATATTATGTTGAATAACACTTGTGAGAGTGATGATCCCCGAGGCAACCCCGGTGTGATTCTTCTGGTGCCAGATGTCCAGTTTCCCAGCCGCATTGCAACTTTCCTCTTCAACAATGCCTCATCTACCCATATCACAAGCTGGGGGCTAGTCTTCAGGTTGATAATTGTTCTCAAAAGAACATCGTACTCCACCCTATTGTAAGCACCCTCGAGGTCAAGCGCCGCTATCAGAGTCTTCTCGCCTCTTTCAAGCCCATAATAAACATCTGATGCTAAGACGGCGGCATTCATCCACGTTTCCTTCCCCTTTCTGTGTCTACCCAGAGTCGCTGGAAGTGCCTCTTCCTTTTCTAGCTCCTTTGCGATGGAGTACCCCACCTCCTTTTCTAAGAGCTTGCTCACGCAATCTAGCATCGTGATTACCCGATAAAACAGCTATCCTACTCTGGTCCTTGTCAGACTTGGGGGTGGTACTAAGTGGCTGTCCAACCAGTCATCTGGTATCTCTCCGTTCCATAGACTTCTATTGAAGATTTCTGTAAAGTCCTCGTCGAGGTTTTTCAACAGGACCTGGGACGGTATTGGCAGAACGCTTGATTGTTCCCTCAACGTCATCGTGACTGAGAGTGTAGTTGAAGATGTCATCAACGTACCGCTGGCGTAAGGCGCAGAGGAGCCTTTTTTTCGTTCTTCTTAGTTGCCCTGGTCTGTCTGCTGAATATATCGCGGAAACAGCACCTCACCTTTCTCCTTGTCTGACCGCACCCGCACGTCGTCCTCCCGTTGGAAGTCTGATAGAACTTTGGCCGGCTTCTTTTTCATCACCTATTTGTACAGCTGCCAGAATGTGTAGAGTGTCTTGTCATCTGTCCTCTCTTGACAAATATTGTCATAAATGGCTTCCTTAGCCTCTTTCGCCACGACCTTGAAGAGTCCTGAAGGTTCCTTCTCTGTTCTTTTCAGGTCCGGGTTCTCTCGGTTGGGTTGGTATGCTTGTAACGCCCTCCTTTTAGCTCTCCATAATCTGTCCAGGTCATCATTCCACCACGGCGGCTGCGTGATCTCCACTTGCTTAATCCTCCTTACTAGGATTGCCTTCTTCCTGAGACTGCTGATAAGGTCTTTGTCCCTGACCTCATATGCGAATGCCTTTGTCTTCTTGGCGGTTTTGGTGGGTTTCCTACGCCTGACAAGCACTGTGCACGGCAACTGGTCGCTTCCATGATATCGAAGGACCCACCATGTACAATCTGTGGCAGTTTGTAGAGAGACCAAGGCCAGGTCCATCAGTGTCACCTGATGGTTGTGCCAATCTTGTAATGCTTCCATCGTTAAGGCATACTAGGTTGCAGAAGTCTAAGGCGTCCTCGAAAGCACCTCCTTGTGGGTTTGTGGTTGAATTGCCAGAACCACTCCCTCGTGCATTGGAATCGCCCCAGAACACTGAGGGACCAGGGAGCACAATCAAATCGTCATTTGTAACCACAAAATAGAACAAAGTTTGAACGATTCCATGATGGCTTGAAGACTCGGTCGAGAAATCAAGCGCTGCTTGATATTTTTCGTGCGATTACGGTCAGATTTGGGGAAGACGCGCTATGAACTATGACGTAGAATCACTTTAAAATTTGCCGCTGCTCAAATTTAAAAAAAAATTATTATCGCAGATAAAAACTGATTTTATATTCGGATTCAGTGTCTCATAATAAGCAAAACTGCTAGCGGGGAACCTGGTTTGGTGCGTTATTATGACAATTGTAGCAATTCTATTATTTAGTTGATCGTCAATGGTGAAGTTGCGTATCAAGGTCACCCAGTGCATTGCACATCTGCAATCAAGTCAGAGACAAGGAATCTTCCTGATCGAAAGAAAACTGGACGATAGATTGGAACGGCTAAACAGACTACACAGCTCGATAAAACGGACGGTTCTCGAATATGATGAGTCTGACACAATTTATCGTTTCGTGTGACCGAGTAGCCAACTTCATTCTCTACTGAAGTTTAAATTGCCTCCTAAAACTCAGTAACTTGACTAATAAAAACCTTAATTAGACATCGTAGTCTACTTTGCTCTACAAAGCTGTGCTGTGGCTCTTCTGTTAGGGTCGTAGCAGCTTTAAAGATACCGTAAGTTTGGACATGTTTCAGTTCTAACTTGCGTTATTCGATGTTGTTCTTTATCCTAAGGGCAGCGAGGCTTTTCCGGCCATTCCTTCACCAGACTTGCAAATCTCGTGTCTGTGCATTGGTACATTGGTACATTGGTACATTGGTACATTGGTACATTGCTACATTGGTACATTGGTACATTGGTACATTGGTACATTGGTACATTGGTACATTGGTACATTGCTACATTGCTACATTGGTACATTGGTACATTGGTACATTGGTACATTGGTACATTGCTACATTGGTACATTGGTACATTGGTACATTGGTACATTGGTACATTGGTACATTGGTGCATTGGTGCATTGGTACATTGGTACATTGGTACATTGGTACATTGGTACATTGGTACATTGGTACATTGGTACATTGGTACATTGGTAGGCCTACACCGGTACATTGCTACATTAGTACACTGGTTTGGCCCCGTGGAAAATTGCATTTTTGAAACAGAAAAATTGCAAAAAAATTGCAAGGTAAACTGCCTAAAAATTGCAAAAAATTGCAACCTTCCCATCCCAGGCGCATTAATACGGGCTTAACATTTTTAGTTTAAAAAACGTGACAATTTTGAGTACCGGTAGCATAAAAGCAGCACAACCTTTAAAAAAATCATGACCCACAATACAAATTCATCAGATGTTATTAACAAGATTTACTAGATCTAGTAACAACAGACGAGTACGTTAAAAATAAGTTATCGACCAAATATAATATGATAACGCGTGACACAAAATAACGGAACTCTCGGTTTTCGTAATAACTTTTGAATGAAGGCATAAAATTTGACCAAATTTTAGTACATACCGGGTACTTGGTTCATGCAAAAATCAAGAAGTGTATGAGGTTTAGACTATAAAAAACAAAAAAAATTGACGATGGATTTTGGAAACAACCTCTAAATACAAAATAAGCTTATGCTCCAATCAAATCAGATCCTGTTCTATTTTTCTCTAGAAACCTTCGATACACCGGTAATCTGTATTTAGATCTATTTCAGATATTTCCTGTTTTAAAACCGGCATGGTATAGTTTTTTATCACTAAGTCAAATCGTAAAATACAGCAAATTAAAAAAAAAATTAATAAACAAAAGTAATATATGTACTATGTACAATACATGTACTATGTACATGTCAAGGACTACTATAATAGTATAGTAGTCCTTGGTACATGTACATGTACATGTACTAATGTAGATCTACATCATTTCTATAGCACTCACTCCCGTGTGAACGCAGCTTAAGGCGTTTTACATAACGGGGTGTTTACATACACGGTACGCGGACACCTAGCCTCAGTGTCAACGTACACGGTAACCGGGCAGGTATTCCAAGTTCAGTTTTTGTCATCCGGTGTTGCCTTCAACTCCAGCCCTCCCCCGACTGTACCTTTAAAAAATCAATAATTCCCCCATTCCGGAGCTCTATACTTCGTAGCGCACAGACTTTGAATGAACTTTGGTGACCCCATTGTGATACGAAAACACAGTTTCACTGACCGGTATACGATGGCGAGCTCACAAAGACGCGTGTATAACTTTCTTTTTTTATTTCAACAAGT